CCTTTTGGGGTTTCCCAGTGGCACTTTTTGGGGTTTCTCCATGGTGCCTTTTGGGTTTTCCATGACATGGCCCCACTCCAAGCATTTCCACGCGCCTCTGGAAGTGCTGTGAAGTGTTTCTACTCACTCCAGTTTCAGCAGGAAAATTATGAAAACTCTTTAAACTCATGAATGGTGATGGAAAGGTGGGTGTGAGGTTGATTTATTTGATGTGATTTCACACCAAACTCAGCCCTCAAACACTGCACATCCTCCAGGTCATGCCTTGGGGACRACGGTGGGAATCGAATTATTTCATCTGTCCGAAATAGAAACTTTTAAAGAGGTGAGGAAATGACTACACCGAAGCCATTGTGTGCCATCTGCCTGCTAAAATACTTATAGAAAACATGTTTCCTGGCATATAKCTTCCCAGCCATATGTCTATTGCATCACTCACAATTAAATTAAATCACCCTTAAACACTTGGACACATTCCCAGCCCGTGTGAACGAGCCTTCATCGCCGTGCCGTGTAAAAAATTTGGATATTTGATCCCGTAAATGTTGGGTTGGAATTGGCTCAGGCGCTGTTAACCTGATACAGCTGATGCTGAGTGCTGCGGGATAATTCGAGGGCATGTTCCTCGTTGTGGGTTTTCGGTTCTTTTGGCCATGGAAATGTGTCAGAGCTCTGAAAGAAAGGAAATAATTCCACAGGATTCGTTTGCAGCACGGTAAAATCACTTTAAATGGGTTTAAATGGGAGTTGTGTCCGTGAGGAAAGAAAGGTGTTGTCTCCTTTTTGTGGAATTAACAGAAAGAAGTGAAGGGGCCTGGTCACAGCTGGATATTTGGGATATTTAGGATAGGTTTAGAAGTGTGTACATAGAAATATCCAACAGCAAAGCCTGAGCTGCTCTTTGTCAGGCTGGGTCACCTTTGGTCAGCTGTGGGGGGACAGAGGGTCCCACTGCCACCACCCTGTGCCCAGCACAGCAATTCCTGTGCCACAGGGACAACCAGGCTCAAAAAATGGATGGAATCAGTTGGGTTGGATGGATGGAATCATCCCTGGGTCTGTCCCAAAAATCCTCCAAGCACAGTTAAAGCATTCTGTTAAAGGGCAGTCCTAATAAATAACTTATTTTGTGTTTTGCGGCTCTTCCTTGGAGGAAATGYTGGATTTCCCTGTGCTGAGCTGAGCCACCGTCCCCAGAGGAGTTCTGACACGGACAGGGCAYTCAGTGGGCATAAACAGGAATGAAATCCCACATTTCTGACAGTGGGAATGTCATTTCAATCCAAACCAGCTTCCACTGGAAACCAAACCCACGAGCTTCCCGTGCGCGGGATCTGCCAGCCCTGAGGGTCATGGCCTATTTTTAGTCCAGGTTTTGGACTCAATATTTTTGGACTCTCTATTTTCAGTCTGGTTTTGAATGATGAACAAACCCAGCAGCCAAACCCCGATGATCCCGTTGTTTTTTTTCATCCAGGAGCAGTCTGGCCCATGGAAGTTTTCCCTGTCCATGGCAGGGCTGGATTGGGATGATCTTTAACCTCTCCTTCCAACCCAAACCTCTCCATGGATCTATCACTCTGATTTTCAATCGTGTTACTCAACCCAAATTCTCCCTTTCATAGACCAAAACATATCTGTTATTTAAATAAGATTCTCGTCTCGCTCTGCCTTTCACATTTCTTTYCTGAATTCATTTTCTGGGCTGATATGCAATGTAAAACCTGGTTACACACTGACTCAGGGCTTCCCAATCTGTGTGTGTGTGTTTGAGAGGAAAAAAACCAGGAAAATTCTTGGTGGGGGCTGTTGGAATCAGCAGGGCCGTGCCCAAACTCAGCTTTTAGGCCGTATTTTCCTGGGATATTTTGGTCTTTACCAGAGCTGTGTGTCCCTGTCAGTCAGTAATAGATTGCTGGACATAATAGAAWTCTTTATATAGATGCTGGAGCCCTTTGCTGAGCTGCAGATGTTTCCTTCCAAGAAACATTTTCCTGCCACAGAATCGCAGAAAGCTCTGAGCTGGAAGGGAAGCATCGCTTCATCCAACTCCTGCACCGTGCTAAAAGCAAAAACTGCTGGAATTTTGTCCTACAATGAATGTGGAAATACTATATTTTGTCCTATAATGAATGTAGAAATACTATATTTTGTCCTACAATTAATGTAGAAATACTATATTTTGTCCTACAATAAATGTGGAAATGCTGTTTGAGGGTTTCTTTGTAGCTAACACCATCCTGTCCTTTTTTTGTGGATTTTAATGCTTTTCTGGCTGTAGCCATTGCTGCCCAGGGCAGGGGGTTGGAATGAGATGA